ACACACACACACACACACATATATATATATATATATATATATATATACATGTATGTGTGTGTGTCTATAGTCGCACCTTATCGGGAATCAGGTACAGATACTTACACAAATTGCTTCCATGTGTTCGAATAACCTACACCAGACTATACCCCAAAACAAATACATGCCATGCGTATGTAGCTGCTCGTTGCTTTCCCAGTGACCTTTGTAAAGATTCACCAATGCGGCTTCCAGGAACCCAGGTCCCACAGCATCACTCGCAGCATAAAGGATGTCCATCCTATCGTACTTCTGCACACACACTGCATAGCCATAGGTCGGGTTCGCCCACCGAAACACTGGGTCATGCGTGAACCCGAACTTGAAGGACATGGGTTTCCTTCGACTGTGAAGATCCTCGAAAACCTCGATCGCATGCCTTAGTACCATGCCAGGTGTCCCGATCTTTCTGGGCAGTCGCAAGTGCAACCTCTGATTCAGTGATATAGCCTCAAGAGCGCTAGCAGTACGAGGCAAGGAGGCAAGTGATAGGTCCAGGCCGGCTAGGTTGCGAGATTTCCTGTGTTCACCACACTCCTGTTCGGAAGTCACGTTCCTTTGTTCGCAGCGGCTGGCTTGCCATGCATATGGGCCAAGGGCTTCCTGAGTTGTCGAGTGGTCTAGACATGTGTAGTAGACTTATTTATTCATATACAATATATATATATATAGATATCAATAAATAGGTGTATATATATATATATATATATATTCAAACATACATCTGTATCTATATATTATATACATATGTATATATATATATATATATACATATATAGAGACATGTAGAGATGTACACCAGTCTGATAGACGAGACAATAACCGTAATGACGTCATAGCTCAATCAAGCATATCAACCGGATATACTACATTGCTACTTCCTGCGAACACTACACAAGTGCCGGGATAGTACGTACACAGACTTCTGCGGAGGCTGCCGATTCAGGACCGAGGATTGCCATGGGGCCTGAGAAGTTATTTGTTGTTGAAGCTTTGGTTCGGCCTGGATCGGGTTTGAGGATGTGCAGACTATATAGAGTTCAATACATCCGGTCGGTGTGGTTGGCCTAGGTCCATCGGAGGCTAGCATGGGCTAGGCTACAGAAGTGTAGATCCGGTTATTGTAACATAAGATAAATTGGCATTCATTTGCAAGCGCCCTATTCGTAAAACACATTCTAAGTGTTCCAGCCATCAATGTTTATAGGAACTTAACATCCGACTAAGAACAGGAGCTATGCAGAATGCAGTCCCACGAAGCAATTTGTAAATCAAATGTTCAGGACTGGGCCCATCCGGTCACCCCTCCAATCTGGAAGCCTGCATACAGTGAAACACTTGGTCGCTAGTCTTCCTATTTGGGATCGTACCAGTAATATTCAAATCTTCGGCATATGACGTTGTATTTGGTGCGAAACAAACAGCACATACGGCTATATATAGGCAATACCACACCTAGACGAAGAACATCACACAAGTAACATAGCAGACAGGTAGTGTAATGGGTCAATGCCACCCCAGTATAGTCAACCATGCTACCCGTGCTAGGTTGAATAAACATATATGGGTTAAGCTACCTGAAAATGAAACCACAAATTCCATGCCCCGGCTCTGAGCGGTGGCATGACAGCAAGTCCAACAGCTCGTCATCGGTCGTCTCATCGCTCGTCGACAAGCCACTGCTGGAAGCCATTGCACCAGCAGGAGCAATACTTCTTAGCAATCTATGGATCTTTAAGACGAGGAAGTTAAGCCCATGTATGTGCATCCTTCATGTTCCTATGTCTAAGCACACTGTATATACAAACGATGCCACTATATACAGCATACATTTATACCGTTTATACCTACTGCAGATGCACAGACCGAGAGGTCTCTACGAATGCTCACCAGTGTCGATACAATGTCCTCACACCATGCAAAGAAGTACTGGAAAACAAAAGGATACCGACTGTTGGCACTTCATGACTGGACAGCAGCATGAACGATGGGGGTGGCAGCGAGCTTTCAGTGGAATCTAGTAACATCTCGAGACATGCGCTATAGTTCCTGCCACAGAAGTACTGAGTTGTATTGCATGGTTTCATAGTGGCTCTATCGGGCTTAGGTGGGATTATCCCTGCATAAGAAAGGTATGATGCTGGCATTGTAGGACTGTACCAACATACATCAGTGTCTGTTCCCCTTCTATCTGGCATCCTTAATAAACTCTTTCTGTATCCGCACACTTTTACAGTGCATCGCATATAGATCTACATACATATAGATGCGCCTACTTATTGCACCTACACACATATAAGACACACGTAGCACACATATACATCCGTACATCCCTCTCAGTTTGGTTCGATGGGGGCAGGGGAGTTTTCACCACATGTTGCTGAAGAGGCTTGTGCTGCATTTCAAGACTGCTGATTAGCTTATAAACACGCATGACTGATCGTAGGGTCCTGAAGGTTCAGCTGTTCCCACCGGTCCACACAACTTTGAAAATATTGTTGACCTAAAGCATTGGAGCCTTCCCCCCCTCAGTGTAGGAGCAGTCTACAGGGTCTTACACTGCTGTTGAAAGTGAGTCATCATATTCATGTGCGGCAGAACGACACAATCACGAAACTTTCAACAGCTAACCTCCAATTTCACACACTCGAAGCACAGTATGCAGCCCTCTAATACAACAGATAAAGTACTGGCTAGCAAAAGGTTGCTTCAGTATGGTTCACTTCGTTGGTCAGTTTAAGCTTTATCACTCTACAGACGGGTTGTATGGGGCAAATTACATAAACTACAAGGGGGTCCACAAGCTTTCTAAGGATCGAGCTCCATTGCCGACGTTCTGCGCCATGCGACGAGCCACTGGGCCATGACCTGGCGTGTTCACAATCTGTTCACACTGCTCTGTAGACGTCTAGCATGAAAGAGGGCAAACTGTATCGATGCAGTGTTTTGCTTCTTTCATAAATCGCTCGGAGGGATCTTGATGGGAACTGACTTGCGAGGATCAGCTGTAGCTTAGGGCTCTGCTCTAGGGCCCTTCGCAGAACAAACTCTCCTTGCTCAGGCAGCTGCTGCAGCTATGGCCGACTCGCAATTGCACTACAGATGCATGCTGTGCCACAGTCTGCATGGCAACATAAGGGGGCTGGGGCTATTTAGAGTTGGAGATCTTTCAAGTCAAAACGATAGCTGCAGCCAGCCGAGGGTTTGCAAAATTATTCTATGCGAAAGAGCGCACAGAAAACCATAATCGGACGGCTCATGCACCAGGCGTCACGAGCTCTAGTCCTCTGGCTCACGCTTCTTCTTGAAGTGACGCTTAGCACTCCTCGGCTAGATACACGGTGTGTTTGTGCATGCACGAGACACGGAGGGCTCAAGTATTCGTGTACCTGGGGTTGGGCTAGGACATCACATCTTACTTCGGTAAAGCTAAGGCTTTGGCTTCACCTTGTTCTCGCTGGAAGCCACCTTGGCGATCCTGGGCCGCGGTACTGCACCACTGCGCCAGCCCATTCGAATGTCTACCGAAGGTTATGCAGCAGCTTGTCAGCTACAGCTAATCGAGGATTCAGCCAGGTTGCTTGTACGTTTCATTCTTCATCATCTCCTCGCTTTCCTTGCGCCACCTGTAAGGCAGCCATGAAAGGTTTAGGTGGGCACAGGTTTCTCGATCTATATATACAACAATGAAACACATGAGATAATGTGCACAGTAATATGTATTTACATTATATATCTGTACATATGTCCCTGAATGCACAGTTACATGTGTATGTGTACACACCTACATAGACATATATCTATATGCATATACATAACCATACCTATATGTATATAGACCTACTGTAACCTTTTGATTGGGTCTATAGATGCACATAGTCACAGCTGATGCCACGTAACTGTGCTAGCTCATGGTCATGTTTCAATGGTTTAGTAGGTCTGATATGGTAAAATATATGAAGGAACCCACACACTCTATGTGTAGATGAGGTCTTGCTTTCGAGAACAGGTAGAAACATCGCACATCCTTATAGCTCGTACCCAATGATGTAATGCTAGAATAATTGGTTCTGCAACCACACCCGAACCTGAACTACATATTGATAACCATTGACCCTGCACTGATACCCCACCATAAGTACCACGATTACATAAGCAGCATGTCAAAGCCACCTGCCACTCCCAGCTGTATCCTGCTTGTATTGAGGCTGCACTGGCTACGATGCTGAGCACTGCTGGGACTTGTCAGAACAGATGTTTGAAACTTCGATGATGTAGGCACATCATATAAAGTGTAAGCACTCGAATACTAACTGCTCAGAAGCCACCTGAATGATGAAATCGAGGCTGCTTTTGTTACCCCGGAGTCAACCCCTAAGCTCCCTAAATATGCACATACAAAACCTGTATGTACTGGTAACACTCGATAACAGCCGATCGAGCTTGTAGATGGTGGCACGTGCCGATAGAACGACTTTGTCTGAGATGCACACTGGTTGATCAGTTGAGCTGCTGGTTCCCACTTGTCAAAGCTAATCATTGCAATGATAACACAAACCTGTCTCCATGCCAAGCCTTCCAACACTAAGGCAAGACACAGCTTAATGAGACACCTGCATGACACGACACATGTTTGGAATCAGGCTTCACTGCCATAGGTAAGGTATGTAGAATCGGCACCTATCGCACTAGGACCAATTAAAGGACATCAGCAGGGTGAGTATGGGCCATGGATTGCTATATAGGGGCAATATAAAGGCTTAGTGGAGGAGATAGTTTTGTACAGTGCGATGGGTTTTCACACGGCTCCACAATTTCTCCATTGCATGTGTATCGGTTGGATGTTCCCGCGGCTTGGAAGCAGATGCTCACTATTGAATCATGCACTATTACAAAAACTTATATCTGGTAGCACATTCCGATTCCAGGGTGCATGGGACATATTGTCGGCACATGCTCTGTTACCAAATGCAGCTGAGCCTCGCAGTGTCGTAGCCTTTCATCTCACCCTTGGCCTGCATATCCGTAAGGCACGAATACGCGTCGTCCAAGATCTTGGCATCGGCCTCCAACGTAACAACGCTCCTTGGCGCTGGGATTTGGGGTGTGAAGTTGGGGAAGTCGGAGTTTAGAGGGAATGCTTGATATTGAAGCAGGTCTCGCAGTGGCCAGAGGGTCCTCGTAGCCTTTCACCAAGTCACGGATGAGGGCACGGATCTTTGCACTCTTGGACAGCACACTGTCAATGAACTTGCGGAAGGTCTCTTTGGCCGAAGTGGCCTCTATATAGCTTATGATTTGAGATGGAACAGATCGCGACTCAGGATGCAAATTGGTGGACTGTCCTCTCCTGCCCTGCCTCGCTGGCCACTTGGACAGCAGGAGCCTGATTGGCCTCGATGCGGTTTTTGTAGAGATCCAGACCACTGTAGTCATCATCGAGACCTGCTCGGTTGTCCTGCACGAAGGAACAGGCTGTTAATTGGTTCTTGTGTTTTGTTCACAAATGTACCATACAGTATCCACAACTACTAACCAATCCTGGGTGTTCTGCGTGATCCGCTGCTCCCTCTCTTCGGCCATCTCCCTGACACCAGTCTCTCGGACCTGTACCCAGTACTCGTTCTCGCCACCATACTTGGACGGCCTGAAGCAGCGCGAGGTTTAGTATGGTCTAGCTGGCCATATAGAGCATATATATACAAGCACATTGTAGATATGTTTATATGTAGTCTAGGGTCATACAAGACACGGATACATCGTGCAGCCGTACATGCAGGATTGCATGGCTTATGTCATATATGTGCAACGAGAGCATACAGTGCACACATGTATGCACATCTTTAGAATGTGATTGCTTCCATGCATATGGCTAGCACAGTCACCAACCTCACTTGAACCACGATCCCAAACTGTCCTAACTTGACTCCAGCATTTGCCTGACCAAGGCCGCGGGGTTCGACTCGCACGCACGAATCGCACCCGCAATCTTCTTCCTCGTGCTTCCGAGGCTTGCTTTAATTTAAGTAGACACTTCCAAGACAGGTATGTAGGTATCGACAGCGGTCTCCGATTCATTGTTTACAGCAGATAGAGCAGAGTACAGTACAAGTCTCAAATTTCATTCTTGTTAGATAAACCTTTATAGCATAGAAATAGTACAGAAGCACTCACAGAGAGCCACGCACGAGATTATGCCCATGTAGTGTTTATTGAACGAACACCTATAGAGAGATGTTCTAATGGTCTGCCGGAGACTAAGATTGGTACAATAGGTTGGGCCTTGCAGCAAAGGGCGCACATCATGTGCGTTTGAACATGCAAGCAGATTTGTTTGTAGCTCCCCCCGTGTAACATACTTCATCCTGTTTGGGCACTATATAGAGTATACTCTAGCAGCACAGAGCTAAGAGACTGACCTGCTGACAGCAGTGTTATACACAAGGTCAATAACAGAGAGAGAGGGAGAGACAGAGAGAGACCGAGAACGACATGGAGATGAGCGCGAGAGAGAGAGAGAGAGAGAGAGAGAGAGAGAGAGAGAGAGAGAGAGAGAGAGAGAGAGAGAGAGAGAGAGAGAGAGAGAGAGAGAGAGAGAGAGAGAGTGAGAGAGAATGAGAGAGAGAGTGAGTATGAGAGAGAGAGGGAGAGAGACAAGCCAATCTCACACAAAATTGCAGACAAGGGCTCGGGTTCCAGTGCAGAACCCGCTGCATGTCCTCCTTGGAGTACCAGCCTTCCTCGACTGAGTTGGTCTTCTTGTCCCGGCGGGCGATGCTGTTCTGCACGCTTGTCACAAACTTGTCCTTCGAAGGTCTTCATGACAGGAAAACTATTCGTTGGTCTAGTAGTTATAAGGGCAATAAGGGCTTTGGGCATGGTAATCTACAGAGCTTCATACAATGAACAACTTCTGGCACAACTAGGATCACAACACTAGGACTGTGTGTATCACGCAAGGCTGCAGTGCTGTTTTCTACAGCGACCCTCTGCACATAAGGCTTCGATCGACATATTGCATGGTTGCAACAAGCTAGTCTTAACATTGTTTCAATGTATCTAGCCGAGATTGACTTGTGTAGAAAGCTGTTAAGATTTCAACAGCCATTGGGTTGAGTTGCAGCACAGCGAGTCTATGTTTGCAAAACTCCGATCCTTGTTGTACCCGTTTTCCTCGTACTGAAGGGCAAGGGCAGTGTGGTTGCCTGCCTTCCAAAGCTCGTGGAGCCACACCGGCACAGCCAACGACCCATTCTTGCGTCGCTGGCAAAGCCGGCGGAGCTTTGCATTCCTTGCCGCCCTGGACTTCTTCGCAACACCCGTCTCATTCGAAGATGCAGGCTTCTCCTCATCCCGCTCCTCCTCCTCTTCATCATCCTGTGTCAGTGTATAGTTCTGTATGCATGCTGTTACACACACACATGAGGAAGTTATCCTAGGCACCATCATGACAGGTACGATGTGAATGCTGTAGCGCATGATACCACCTTGCCTCGGCGGGACAGTCATTCGGGGGCCCTCGGTCACTTGCGGCGTCACTAGCATTGTGGTGATCATGGCTTTCGCGCTTCTCCGAAGGCGTCTCCGCCACTCGGGCTTTCTTCTTCTCGGGGCTGCATCCTGTGATCCTGTACCCCAAGACTGTGCTGGCTGTGTCCAGGGACATGCTGCCAGCGATGACCATCTGGCGGACACGGGCCTCCAGCTCTGCAAGTTCCTTGATCGCACATAGAGAAGCTCCAACAAGGAAGCCCAACCATCATGCAGACTCAACATAGAAAGCCAGCCCCAGCTCAAACAGGATGTGTAGCAGGCAAGTCGGACGAGTGCTTCATTACTACACAGCTAACAAAGCCTAAGGGTCCTGGCTCTGGGCACTCGTAGCCAGGGAAGACGGCGAATTTGAGCGGGGTGGGGTAGCGGTGCTTTGCTCCGTCTGCTTTGACTTCAGCTCCCAGTCAGCAGCCTTACATACCGTGACCACAGAGTTCACATGGCAGTGAGTATCTTGTGGGCAATGCATATACCATGCATGATACATACTGAGAGACATGTTCGTGGTAGCAAGTGCATATGAAGACCAGGGGCCGGCTGGGTCTCCTCGACTGATGTCTGTAGCCTCCGCTCCTGGTAAGACATTGTAGGGATATCCAGTACGATTGTTCAGTACAGCAAGACACCCGAGGAATGCATGGCTTGCCAGCACATCAAGACACATGGCCTCCATCTCCAGATCTGCAAGCTCCGCCTGCATCTCCTGGAAGGCGAGATGAGTGGGGGAAGCCATAATCAAAGCCGGAAGACATTAACACAGTCGCGTGAAGCGATGATCGAACTTGTACATGTGTTGAGCCCGTCACCTCAAGAGCACGGATCTCATCAGGGTTGTTTCCTTCGGTCAGGACCTGCGTTAGCCCCTCGCGTAGCTCGGAGCAGCTCCACTTTCTGGAAGCAAGCCTGTTATCATGTCCGGGCGCTGTCATCACAAGCGAGCGGGCCCACAGGATAGGCAACGAGCAGGTGCTAGAGCTCAAAAGGTGGCTATCACGAGTATGACTCTGGCAGGACCAACCTCAAGAACTCCAAAGGTGTGCTACACGGTGGCAATCAGCGGCAAACCGGGTCGAACAGTTTGAGGCTGCTTGCACATGTTCCTGCATGACAGCAAACCAGTTTATGGCACGGACGAGCTTGTATGCAATCCATTGCAACTTTGTCGGACCAGGCTCCAACATGCATATATAGTTTGCGAACTGTACCGAACCCAAGGTATACTCCATTGTAGCATGTGCAATCTATAGGGAAGAAGATCCACCCTGTTCAGAGGTGATGCTACTGCTTACGAAGAAGGTATAACATCATGCTACTGCTTAGGGAAGAAGGTATAACATCATGTTACTTGATGTAACTAGAAAGGAGTCGGGATATGTCAAACCTGGGTTGCGATTCCAAGACACACGGCCTATCTGGACTTCATAACAGAGAGTCCGACCCCAACCCCAACACGTGCGATGAAGAGTTGGGGAAGCTGGGTGATAATCTCTATGATTTAGCCCTAGAATAACCCATAAAATTTTATGGGTTGGTTACGCCCTTTTACGGGCAGGTTACGCTTAAAATACGGGTTGAAAAAATACGGGTTAAGGAATTACCAGGTTTCTTCTTAAGCGGTCACGGGTGTTTACGGGTAAGTTACGGGTGTTTACGGGTAGGTTACGGGCATTACCCGGTTTTTTTCACCCAAACCATCCAAGACCCTATGTTAAGTATGTTGTCATCTAATCTAGACAGCGAAAACTCAAGTTGGAATGGCCTGGTCCCACCACTTCCCTTCTAATTGTATGCTACGAGGAACCCGGCTCCCAGCGGCCCGGGCTGGTTGCAGTCGAAGCCAAGAGCTGTCAGCTGTCACATAGTCACCCTAGAAGAGAAGCACACCCCCCTAGGGCCCTAGGGGACATCCTAGGTGCTAAAAAGGTACAATGCAGAAGCCGAGTTCCTTTGCTTGAATTTGTTCATACTCGAACTGTACTGTAAAAGCACATGCACTATGTGCATGCATCTGAGCTGAAGATACCTCAGATAGATGTTGGCAGCAAAGGACGGAACTCTTCAGGGATTCGTAAACACGTGCCGCCCCGAACATACCGGATGCATTCAGCCATGCTTGCATCCTCCCACTTGTCATCGTAACTCATCGCACGAAAGGTATCCATGGCCGATGGCAAGTCCTCCGGCAGCTGGGGCGTGCCTGTCTGTGTGCTTAGCACCTGATCATGGAGCTCCACCAGGCGCAACCCGAATGGGGCTGGATAGTGCCTGAGCTGAGAGGCAAAGGGTTATCTATGATAGTATATATGACAACACCTATAGGACCTGAGAGCAGTGGGCTCTTTCAGAATTGTGGCAAGGTAACACTTGGAGCAAACACTTCCTTCAGCATAGCGATACTAGGCTTAACTATCGGTGTTGCTCGGGAATAACCTGCCCTAGCAAGAATTGCAACCCTATCTTAAGACCCTAGAAAGCCGTTGCAAATCCCTGTATCCCAACAATATATGAAATCCCTGCACATACAAACCACAGACCTAGGAACTTGATCATTCCACTCACTTGGGAGCCTTGTGGTAGTTGACACCATGTACTTACAGGGCTACGTTTCTGAGGACTGTGCTCAGTGGGCTTCAGGTTCTTGCTCCCATGGAATCGCTTCACTCCACGACTGTCGACATAGCGATGGCTTGTGCGAACTCTGTCCGGGTGAGTCTTGCAATACTGTTGCCAGTTTCGAAGCGGGCCCTTGTAGAGCTGGCTTATGGCACTTGCATTTGCCCAAGCCCAGTGCGGCTTCGGTGTCCAAGCGCCATAGTGCCACATGTGCCAGGACACTTTGGTAACCTGGGCTGTTAATTGGGCAGAGGGACAGATCAGAAGGCATAAGGTGTTAGGTTTGGGTTCCGAGAGTGGTACCCATGTCACATCCACCACACATGCGCGACGGCCCTTCTTGGGCTCCCCATATATAGGAATGGATCGACAGTAGGGTGACATCAGCTTCTCGTGGCTGACATTGATCTGATTGACGATGGATCCAGTATAGTAAACATGAAGAACCACATAACAAAAGCCAGGTCATCCGAAGCATGCACCGGCATCACATGCCTATGGACCTATGGATCGCAGAAACTTTTGCATGTGTTCAAGGAGCTTGCTACCAGTCGTTTGAAGACAAACCTATATAAAGCATCTTATTTCTACATACCATACCTATATGGATGTCCCAACACGACCAGCCTCTAACCCTCCAACGGAGAAGCCCCGCAACCCTGGAACAAAAGATAGAACCCCCCTATAGAAACAAAGCCTATAAACACCCAGGATGTATGCACACCTCAGCCCTGGATCCAACATCGGCTAATTTATCTTCGTGACACGTCCTTCAATTGCATCTGGGTTGATTCGCGGGGTCTGCAGGAGTTTCAATGGTTCTCTTGATTTGCGAAGGGATAATTGCACAGATCGTCCAGGGCCGATAGCAGAGAGCCTGCCGAGAATTAGGAATCCTTGCATTGCCTACCATTAAACATTATATCCCTACAGAATCCATATGTAGAACAGTGGATGCTTGCAACTACTGTATACAAGTCATTTTCTAGGGATCCTTACTTGGTGCTCCAATACCGTGTGCACTTTGAAGTGGAAGGCTGCAACTGAGCACCCGACAGCATTTACAATGAATACTCATTGTGGACTGGCCACGAAGCAATCGTAGATGTGCACAAATGCAAATGCTTCTAAATGCCTCACACCACATAGTGCAGTATATGGGTTGATCTAGTGTAATGTCCCAGCCTCCATCCACCTATGATCTTCTCGTACCTTTCTGAGCGGCCTAGGAACATTTGTACAGTAACCCCGTACTTCGACTCTACAACCTCCGATCTCCATAGAATCCAACTATCTGCATAACCCCACGCAGGAATTGGTTCAACATCAGCTAAAGGCATGCCACAAAAGGGTCCAATTAGTGTCGGTGTTCGCGAGGGCACCAACTTTGGATTGGGTTGTTTAAGGGCGAGAGTTGGCTGTTTGACTCAGACGAGGTTTTGGTGGCTCGAGCTGAGGCCTAGGCATGCACTGCATACATACTTTGGGGCCTGGATAGAAAGCACCTAGGTCTGTGACTACCACAGCTAGAATCCTAGTGTTTCCATTCATGAAACAACACTTCAGATAGCTACTATATCGATCGATGACCTATCCCAAGCTAGGGGCCAGCCCGACACGAAGTGTGTGTGTGTGTGTGTGTGTGTTCATGTTAGCTTCGCTCTATGTAATGATTCATTCCACTGCAGACTTAGCAGGCCCTTATAAAATTCCCCCTTGCAAGCAAAGCTCCCGGAACGCTTACTTAGATGCAAAGGCATCCCTCTGTATGTCTAGACAAGGACACACGTATGCATGGTATGGAGCATGTGTTTGCACATCTTAACATGCACACCCGTGGGAGGGTACTTCCACGGCGACACTTTATATAGGGACAGTATAGCAGCTAACCTTGTTCATGCATACATACACAATGTGCATGATGTCATCTAGGCTGGCAGCAACCCATGTACATGCATGTCTAGAACAAACACCATGAACCTGCCCTGCATTCCTACCAGTGTCACAGCGGTGCATAGACGTTGCATCTATACAGCCTCAATGAAGCCAATTTTGATCAGTAGGGTTCTTCATATGCTGTACTTCTAGCACAATGGGATTGTAGCATGTGTAGAGTGTTTGCACACATGTTCAGGCAGGGATGGGGCACGGCTTTGATTGAATTGGAGGGTCACATAAGGCATGGCGAGACCATTTAGTAACGGGTCTGCATGGTCCAATCTGACCCTGAACACTAATCACATAGGGAGATCCCTGGGTGTCCTTAGATATAGCAGGAATGAAACTACATAGGCATAGGCGTACATACAAGTACACGGCGACCATTGAGCCAGATTGCATGTGTTATCCTACTGCCCTTCCTATCAGCTACATGGACATCAGTCCGTCAGCCCAGTAACCCTCGCCCAGAAACGTTGAACATATACCAACCCACTAAAATAGATGGAAAGCAAACAGACCCTGCAAGAAGCATCCCGAAGCCATAGGACACAACACCGAAACAAGCACCGATAGCTCCCTAACATGAAATCACATGAGGCCGAGCTACTGCACCTTCACCCAGCACCTGCATTACCCAGCGGAAACGCGGATAGAATTCCAGGAAGCTGCCGCTTGGCTGCTCCACAGACCACACTCCCGACATGGCCGTCACCACCAATAGCAGCAAAGCCATCCTTAAGTGGTAGCAAGTGGTTTAAGAGTGTGGGTACGCGCTTGTGAGGAATCCAGCTGATGCAAGAGGAAAACTGAGAACAGCAGGCCTCCCTAGCAACATAACAGCTTCCCTTCAGCTCATGCTGTGCTGGCCCTACATAGACCGTCTATATACAGCTATAGGTAATGCTTCAGAGCATCCTCGAAGCCATACAGTTGCCCTCGCGAACGAAAGCATGATCCTGGTTGCCCAAAGCCGTGCAAATCGACCTTCCCGAAGTCCCTTGACTCATTTGACTCCAGCTCCCGCACTTGATGCCAAAATGGCACCAGAATCCCCGAGGATCTCCACGCATCACGATGGACAATGCCAACCTGGGATGGGCCGCTTAACAGCATACACAGCAATCTTAGATATGCCTAGATAACTCCTGTTGGGTGTGACAGATGTGCTGGGGCTCGAGTGCAAGATGCAAAGGCAAGTGCCATTTAAGAGCACCGAGTAGCAGGAACCCTGACGGGGTCAAGATGTCCATGAAATTCTGCTTTCCACCATTTGGCACGTGATACTTGTAGTCTAGCTTGGCAGCACAATGACCTGCATACCTCATCATCCGTGTTGCTTCGGCATTGCCCGCAAACATCTCGATGAAGTCGAAGTAGCCACTGTTCTGGCACATGACATGGGGTCGGATGCTTCTACATGACAGGCTTCCAATTATGTAGTCATGTGCTTTTCTAGATGGTAACATGATTTAACTATGTCTCGAGTCTTTGAGTACGAGTCACTGTGCGTAGAAGCATTGTAGATATGTTCACATGTGGAGACCAGGTGTCACAGGTACGGATGTTCAAGTGCAGGTGAATGGTGTCGTGTAAGGCTCAGCAAAGCTTCTCCTAGCAAGGTCCTCCCTACCGTCATGGCCTCCTCGATGCTCTGTATCTCGAACCCTTTGGCCCACCCAAAGAAATCCTAGCACCCCAGACCTGTATCAAGAAGAAAGCCAGCAACAACCCTCGGACTAAGCAGAGCGATGGTCGACTACAAACTGCCAATAGCCCAGGCTTGAATTCGATCGAGCAGCTGCACCCTGGCCAGAAAAGCTGCTGCTATAGCAGCTACTCGGCTACAGCAGCAGAAATGTCGAGTGGTTCACACACATGTGTATGTGAGAGTGGGGACAAGTACCAGGTCTAAGAGGAAATTGAAGCTGTCCATGCCCCGTTCATAACGTGGTAAACACAGAGTAGGGCATCAAGTTACCAGCACGCAGGTACATATTCTGTGTGAATACACAGGCACACATAGTCGGACGGTCCCAAGTTGAGATATGGACAATCACATTATATGTATGTATATGCACACTAGCATGTAGGTGGCTGGTCTAAGTAACCTTAATATATATATATGTGTGTGTGTATATGTATATCTATATATATGTATATACAGAGCTCTAGAATACATGTAAAAGTGGCACATCGTCATGATGTACCTTTTGCAAGAGAATCCGAACATGTAAACGGCTTGTGCAAGCACAACCGCTTCACCACTATTCCTACCGCACATGTTACATAGGCCTCTAGCAGTCTATCTGGACCCTCTATATGATTGTAGTTTACTGTATTGAAGGCTTCCCCCTAAATATAACAGCCCGTACCTCTGAAACTAGCAGCCCAAAGGTCTTTGCAATGCAATTACAAGACCCCTGCACTCCTCGACCGGGACCCCTTTCAACCCACCCGATAAACTTTCTGCAATCCCTGAACACCTGCCTGTAAATCTGCGCTGTGGTCCGTCCACGACAGCAGCAGAATGGCCAGGAGAAGTATCTTGGCAGTGGTTGTCTTTGGCCATCTTTTAGTTCATATATGCATATGCATGTACACACATACATACATGCATATATATATATATATATGTGTATGTACATATACATAAATGTATGTATGTGTGTGCATTCACATATAGTTCTAGGTAAGAACATGTGTGTCTATATATATATATATATATTTATATATTTGTAAGTGCTTACATGTACATTTTCATGATTTGGCTATATATATATATATATAGGTAGTGTCTGTTTGTTCTGATATACAATAAATACCTATATAGTTGGTTCACACACGGTTAAATAGAAAGTATATACATACTGTCCCTGATCAGTTTTGATTACATATATGTATTGGATCTAGCTTTAGCTCCATAAGTCAACATACATCGACCTACCAATCCAGCGATCTGTCTATCAGCCTGTCTGTGCGTCTGCCTGCTTGTAGAGCTACCTATCTATCTGTGTGATGTACCTCTCTATTTGACAGTGCCTATGTCTGTAGTTGTCTCTCAGTCTCTACTCTGTCATATTCGGATCAGTCTGTCTATCTCTCTCTCTCTCTGTCTCTCTCTCTCTTTCTCTCTCTCTCTCTCTCTCTCTCTCTCTCTCTCTCTCTCTCTCTCTCTTTCTCTCTATATATACATATATACATATATATATACATATATATATATATAGAGATGTATCATCTGTCTATATCTATACACACATATGTATATATTGCAGTTCAATACTTAGTTATGGAATAATGCATAACTAGGAAACGTAGACGTGCGAATCTATATACATATGTGTCTGTCCATATAAACATATATATATATGTATATATACATATACATGCCGTGTATATATATATATACATATATATATATACATATATATATACACATACAAGCACTGTTTGATGCTCTGCATGTTTGGTCAAAGCACTTTCTCGATGTATATATATATTTATTTATTTATTTATTTATTTAGATCAGTGGTTTCCATCTAGCCTGAATATGTTTCCATGGCTGTATGTGTGTCTAGAACTATTTCGGTATCTATGTGTGCGAACCCAATCATCTATGTATTACACCCACTATACTCACAGTCAAGGCCTGCTCTGGTTGGGCCTACAGCATCCTGGATACCCTTTCACACGATCAGAGAATATGCACAAGCCTACACAAATGCATGCACTACACGGGCTCAGGGTTTCAGGAGCTGCTGGGCCCAGCTATCTACAGCGGCGCGGAGAGATTTCCCCAACCCAAAGACCCCAAGATGGATTAGGGTATCACAAACATGTTGAGAAGGATCATTGGGATCTGTATACTACTTCCCCCTACATAGACAAGCTTGTCCAGGACCTGTTCATGTTAGCTTATTATTATTCTATTTGGGCATGTTCACACCTTATTGAAGCTGCTAGTTAACTATAGAATCATACTAGGATGCACTGTGGAGCCGTGTCGCCTTGGGTGCCCCAAGAACACGTAGGCGATAGAAAAGAGCGTCCAGATCCATGCCAGGAAGCTTGGGATAAGCACAGCGTTCCCGAGGAGTCACACCGCACCCCCAATGTAAGAATCTAGGCAGAAAGTCATCTGGTTACACTTCAAATTGCTGTTGGAACCATTCTTGGCCCAATAGAACACACATCCTGAATCCCACTGTTGCTGCTGCTGCAACCCAGACATCGCAGACACCGTCATCAACACACGCAGCCAAGGAATGCTGGCCACTGCACTGCATGGACTCACGAGAATGGCAGCTGCTGACTCTCGGCAAGCGGTTTTTCCCGAATCGATATAGACCCGCATCTAGCATATCAGTGACGGTTCAATGAACACACACTGCCCTTGACAGCTCTAGAGTGCAATCTGTTTACATGTATATACCCCTGCCTGTCCGCACACGAAAGTAGTCTACTGTATCTACCATCTTATATAATTGGTATTTGATTACACAGAACCCAGCAGAACAAATTTCAAAGCGTGACCGGCTAGACACTCGTCCTCCTTGAGAACACCCAGCTTGGCGAACTTCCGTTTGCCACGTAGGCTTGGCATCCCGAAAAGACCTGGGCAGTGCATTGCATGTCAGCTGGGGGTCTTTGCTAGTGGAGTGACAACATGCACTGGCAGTAACAGAGAAACATGAGAAAGTGTGGCTGCATGGATCGGGACGTTTTGTTGTCTGCGTGCCCCAGACTTCGATCGTCATTGTCCACACGACCAGGCTTCGCTAGCCCATGTAGCCATGCAGACTCCTAGACTCCCAAAGGATTAAAATCGCCAACGGCACGCATCACACCCCCAAGCGCACGTGGGAAGACACACGCACACACAGCTGGCTGATCTAAGGAGCGTGTTCTAATGCGCACCGGCCCGTGGCGAACAAGATTGCACCGAGAGCTGGGGTCCAGGCTGATGGAGGCTCATGCTTATCTACATCATCAGGTGATTGACAGGCCTAGCTGAATGGAAACCCAAGCAGCCTAAGCTAGCAGACAGGCTATGATTGCCCAGATGTTGTCATGACACATCTAGCCTCAGACACCCAGCCGCAGGCTTCTTCAGTTTGCGCCTTCCATCAAAACCTCTTTCAGGGCACTCAGTCCGCTAGCGTAGGTAACAGCAAGATTGGTCTGGAAGTGTCCCCTCGGATCGTCGATTCGCTTGAGATCGAAAATGGGGTGCTCACCGTCGCACTCCTCCAGGACCTCCGCCTGGGCGCATCTAAACCCCACAGAATGTGTGCATGTGTGGATAGACATATGTGTCTATGTAACATGTGCAAGTAAGTATTTAGTTTCCTTAAACATATGTGTATACATAAAATTAAACAAACTTATACAAGATGATTCAACCCACGCGTGTAAGGTTTTACACCCATGTACGTGTGCACATACATGTGGCATGCATGTTCTTATGTACACATGCATGCATGTGTACATATGTATATGAATATATATATATATATATATATATATGTATGTGTCTGTGTATATGCACGAACGCATGAATGAATGTATACACTTCACATGCATTCCTAGTTAAATGTGGGTGTACAGATAAAGAGGTTCATATCCTTGATGTGTATAGTCTATATATAATGCACATGTCTATATAAATGAACATGCACTATGTCCAGATACAAATTAGCTGCTCTATGTATGAATATATGTATACACACAACCTATATATCTATATCTACATCTATATATATTTAGTTATACATGTATGTATTCAACGGATAGATTGATAGATCAAGGGTATATTGATCGCCTCTTAGATAAATAATCCAAGTAAAGCAGGTAGCTAGATAAGCTAGCTACATAGAATGCCACCTGCCTATATACATGTGTGTCCATGTGGCAACACATACCTCTGCATCACGGCCGTGGCATGCTAGACACCTCGACACCATGAGCAATACCATTAGCAAAGTCTTAAGCACATGGCTCTCACAGCGGAGAGAGAGAGAGAGAGAGAGAGAGAGAGAGAGAGAGAGAGGGGAGAAACAAACAACAAAGATTGAGGCCTGAAGAGATACCTGTTATGTAGTCTATACCGCACCCCGTCATGGCAATGGCTTTCGATCGATGACACATGGAAGAACCTGAACAGGCTCACAAGCACAGACCCCTTCCATATATATACTTTCATGCAACCGAAACACGAGCTTCAGCACGACCGCGTAGGCTGCAACCATGGTGTGGTTCCAGTTGTGCGGGTACTCCTTCTTGTAGCTCACTGTGCACATCTGCGGTCGGCATGGATCCAAGACGAGCTTCAATCCCACCGCGCTCCGCGTCCAGTAGGCCGTCAGCTGCGTCTTCTTGAACTCAGGGCGGTGAGCCAAAAGGTGGCTCTTGATCTCCTCGAAAGTAGAGGTGGTGATGTTACTCATGAGGAAAATGATCCGCTTCTTCGTGGCCTTGTCCACCCAGTCTTCGTTCAGCGAACCATCCGGGTTCTGCCACAGCAGCATCTTTTTCACCACTGGCTTTCCAGCCTTTGTTTTCTTGCCACCGGGACTGCGACCTGCCAAGGCCTTGGCCTTCGGGGAAAGCTTCCCCAACAAAGATCTGCTCGGGCATCGGGCGGGACCCTTTCGCACCACAAATGGCGTGCAACCAGGCACCGGATCGGGAATGGACCTGACTGGCCACTCGTCGGCCAAGCCATCCTCACCACCATCCCATCCCAACTGTGGCTCCACCACAAGATCCTCCCTCGGCTTATTGGCACCCTTCTTGGCAGCAGGCTGGCGCTTGCGCTTGATCCCTTTGCCTGCTGGGGCAGGCTCCTCTGCCGGCGCCATGGGGTCATCCTCCGGAAAGAGCCTGCGGCGCAACGACACCGGCGCGGCAGGAGCCGCATCCTCAGGACCACCACCGCGGCCAGCACGACCGCGGCCACCTCGGCCACCTCGGCCTCGGCCACCTCGGCCTCGGCCACCCCGGCCTCGGCTCCCTCGGGCCGTGGCGTCATCATCATCGCCATCCTGGTCATCACCCTTCTCTGCAGCCTTTGCCTGTCTGGCCTTCTTCTGCTCGTTCTTCATGTTTAACTGATGTGTGCGCAAGAGAACCTCAGCACATACAAATTGTATAACACTTGTACCCGAATGGGAAACTCATGCAGAGCAACATATGCATAGATAAATTATATAGATACCTTGATCGAAATGGAGCTGGTACACCAAACTGGCATATTAGTTGAACCCAGTGACATCCCGAGCTGGCTCAGGAACATCAGCAATCGGCTCAGCAATCGGCTCAGCAATCGGCTCAGCAATCGGCTCAGCAATCGGCTCGGGCAGCAGCTCCTAATGATGCTACTTGGAATGGTATCGGCAGCATTACCGTATACAATCCACTCAAGCACAGGTCTTATACAAGATGAGCCAGGCATCTGCACCCATGTCAACAACCTGTGTCTCCACTGTGTCAGGGTTGACGGCCGTAGATCCTGCCAAGAGCCCACAAACCAAGAATCCGGAGCTACATGCTCAATCTCACACGAATATCAGTCATTGGCCTCGCTGCCTAATATGTGCATATATATATATATATATATACATACATACACACACCCACATATACATATACACATCTACATATACATCTACATCTACATCTACAAATACATATGCATATACATATATACATATGCATATACATGTACATACATATAGAAACATATACATACATATGCACATGTATACATATATATATATATGTATACATATATATATATATACACTTATGAGTACATATGTACATATTTGCATGTACATATATAGATCTAGATCTATATATGTTCATGTACATGTACATGTATAGATGTAGCTTTGTATGCATATACAGACATGAAACAAATATCTAGATGTGTGTCTATGCGTACACATGTATAAATGTATATTATATATATATACACACACAGATACATAGACATATATATATATATATATACATAAATAAGCACAGACACGGGAATCTACAAGTGCCCATGTAAATCCATGTAGATACGAGTTTGTAGGCATCAACTACATGGGTATGCATATACAAACATGTATATGTGTATACACATTGTGTATGTTCCTTCTCTTGAGTTGTATATACATATTTATATATATATGTATATATATGTATCTATCTATATATATATATACACACATACATATATGGGTGCTATACGAACTCTTCTCCGAATACATGTACATATATATATATATATACATACACATTTATTGCATGCAACATCGGGTCATGGTCCTGAAGCAGGAGGCCGAACCACTGCGACCGATCCAGAGGCTGCTTCAGCAGGTTGTTCTTGGAGCCTTATCTCACTGGGTTTTCAGTATAAGTCAACGACACACGGAAAGCATGCAGAGAGCCATGGAGAGAGGTTTCGTGAAAACCTAAGAGAGGGCCAGAAGGAGAAAGAGAGCGACTAAGAAAGAGAGCGCGAGAGAGACCCAGACAGGCTCAGGATGAAAAATGAGGGGGATACAGAGTGAGAATGCTACCAATGAGAATGAATAGGCACTTATATAATTATGTACAACGATGGAAAGCAGATAAGGATATGGGAGAGGCAGGGGTCCTGATGAGGAGTGTATGCGCAAGGAGCTATCTCCAAACTGACTGTACAACCTATAACTCTGCATGACGAACTATAGGCGGTGAGTATCTTTTATATACATCCACTTAGTGTCGTTGTATATTTCAGTTTGGCATTGCTTCTATATTTCTCGAAGCATCCAAGCGTGCACCCATATTAGAATGATGCATGTATCAGGTCAAGCATGTATGTATGCCTGCATGCATTCATGCCGGCATTCTTGTATGTTGGTCTGTATACGTATGTAACTCACCTGCATGAGAACATGTGTCTGTGCGTACACATATATGTGCTTGTTGCACTGTTCTAAACGTGCATGTCTAGCTGGCACAGATGTAGGTACAATGAGGGTTGGAGAGCAACGGTTGAATGTGTAGGCATGCATTTATCGATATACACACATGCACTATGAAACCACGTTGCAGAGAACCTTGCAACCAAAGAAACTTGGCAATCTGCTGCCTCTTCGCCGCAATGAGTGCTCGCATCTGCTCCTTCATGTTGGCGATCTGCTTGCACTTGCCTGCAGTAGCACAGTCAGTTTGACATACGATACCCGATGAAACCACTTACACAGACTGTATACATGCATGTAAACTGCTGGAAGTTAAAGTCTTTCACATGCCATCAAGTTGCACTGATCAGGAGACTTGTAACACTTCTCACAATTGCCCGAAGCATGCCAAGTCGACTCGCGAACCTTTGCAACCTGGGATGGCTGTGTCTCGCAGGCGGCAGTGGCCAGCACCTTTGACCGGTTAAGCCTTGGCTCTGTCGCCTTCGCTTGGGATGGGAGGCTTTCATTCCCTGCTGCCTCACACTGCTTTGTGTTGGATCTGGCCCCTGATCCAGATGATCCAGATGAGGCTTCCGGTGGGGATGGCACATGAACAGCTACGGCTGCTGGTGGGGATGGCTCATGGGAAACATGTGGTGCGGATGGCACATTGACAGCTACGGCTGCTCGCGGGGATGGCTCACGGGATACGGCTTCTGGCGGGGATGGCACTGCAGCTACGGCTTGCGCAGGGGATGGCACAACAGCTAAGGCTTCTGGGTTGGATGATGCAGCAGGTGCGATTGCTGGTCTGGGTGGCCCGGAGGAAGCGGAGGATGCTGAGCTTGGGTCGGGGATCGGATTCTGCGATCCGCGGGGCTGGCTGTCCAGCCAGCGGCGAAACTCATCCAAGTCAGTCTCCCTCTCGACTGACTCATCGTCCTCGCCCTCATTCTCATCCCCAGTCGAACCCTCCATACTGGCTGAGCTGCGAGCTCGTAGCAAAGCTTCCCGTGCAGCCTGTGCAATGTTGGCCTGCCTCATAGCTCCAGCCATGTACGTGTCGATGTGCTCCTGCATGCATGTAACAAACTTATATGGTATCATACCGATTTTGCACTCAAACTACACTGTCGGATACATCACATCATACATTGAAAGTTTGCAGCCTCTGCACGATGGGTCGAAACCATATAAACTTTTGAAAAGCTTCCGCAACTCAGCTAAACAATCACTCACATAAACCGGTTCCTGCAGGTCCGGCCGGATGATCAACAGCAGCTTGTGAAATCGCGTGTCCTGCACAATACAGAGTTGGCTCCATGTTAAGGCCTCACACTCTTACATTCAAAAAATATATGTACACTATGCTACATTTACATCACAAAAAGAATGCACACACAAGTATCCTTCGTCACCTCTTTCTTGTTTGCCTTTCTCTTGATAAAAGACAACATCTTCTTGATCTCACCAGCCGTTCTGTAGCAAACCTTCTCCGAAACCTTAACATGCACCTGCCGAAAGAACATCTCGATCTCCTCCTGTAATGGGGTGATGTACGGAAGCTTCAGGTCGTGGTCACGCATGCGCTCCAAGCAAGGAGTCAACACATCAGTATTAGCAACAGCATTCCCACGGTTGCTATCGCACAACTGAGCACCAGGAGGCAGCCGCATAATCAGGCCCGTATCACGAGCAGTCTTGCGCACGCTTGCAATTCCCTCCCACACACTTGCAAGCCCGCTCACATCCATCGCTTGCCCTTCACCTTTCATTGCTGCTGCCATATACCGATCAGATCGGTACACACACACAGTGAACCGAAAGCCCTTGAACAAAAGCTGCAGTTTTGCATCATGTTCATTGTCAGAACACTCATGCTCGCATGGATAGCCCTGGTGCAGGCAACACGAATGGATCTATACAGCTGCTGGCGAGATAAAAGAAGCTGAGCTTCGAGCTGATCTGCAGATGTAGTCCGACAGGGGCACACCCACATCAGCATGCAAAGACTTCTAAAGTCTTCCTTGATTAAGTGGCCTACGAAGACACAATCCTAATGTATCCATCGAGTCTGTATGGCAAACCCTGCTTGTGTCTGACAGCCTTCCCACAGGCTTTGATGTACACAAGTCCAGACTACCTTCTGAAGTAAGCTGCCTTCAACCCCCTTGCATGTAGAGATGGCCACACTCAATGCCAAGCAAGGCTGGAATTTCAAGGGTATTCAGGATTTCCGGGTTTTTTAAGAATTGCCAGGAATGATTTCTTCATGGGGTGTCTTACCGGGTTATAGTTTTCTAACCCACTAAAAAGAAGGCAAAGGACTTAGCAGGTAGGGTTTAGGGGGCCAGAAGGCGCCCTAATGAGTATTTCTCCTGCATACTGCCCCTCTGAACATCCTACGGTAGCCTTGGAGCTTTTTATCCGTCGACAGTACAGCGCTCTAAATCAGCGGACGGAGCAGGGACCGGTTCGGGCACTTGAATGCTTATGGCATCCAGTTTATATTATATTATATTATATATATTATGTATACATGTATATGCACGCTCGACCAGATACAAGAACCGGAGTCCCCGTACTCCGACAAAGAGGGGGAAACGCATATCAAGTTCAGTTGGTTCCCCTTGGTGCAGAAGGATTTAAGGCGAAGTCCAGCATCCCATGTTCCATTTTGTATCTGTAGCACGTTGAGGGCATCATGTTCAGCCCTTACAGGCTGGTCGTTGCTAGACCCGGAAACCTCATCAGTGGGAGTTCTTCTGAGCTTGTTTTTTTTGTTTGAGGCGCCTGCTTCAAAGCTAACACCAAACCTTGAAATCTACCGGGTGAGCCCAGCAACCCGCAGGTGACACCTGTGCCGTCTCGGGCTTTCCCATCGCATACCTTCCGCCGCTCAGCGAGGGTTGGATCAAGGACTCAGTCCTAGGCTTGAGATCTGGGCTGTAATACTGTAAGGTAAACCCTAAACCCTAAACCCCTAAACCCCTAAACCCCTAAACCCTAAACCTTTTGAGGGCTTAGGGTCAGGGGTCCAAGGGTTCAGCTCATGGGTTGGGGCTTCTGGGGTGTAGGGGATACCGATGTAATTAGGGAGTTTTTAGGATGTGCGGCCCATCTCCGAGATGTCTTGAAATCAGGGTTGGGGCTGAGCCCCTAAGCCCTTGACCGTAAGGCTAAAATGAAAATTGCAAAACTCGGCACACTAACCAAGTCCTAAAGCACTGAACCATAAACTAAAGCCCCAAGCCCTTGAAAGTAGCCAAGGTATCCGCCGTGCAAGCTGCAGGTTGGCCCCGGCAAGAGCCAGAAGACCCGCCGACGCATTAGAAGCGCTTTTATTTTTTCTTGCAGTTTAGGGTGAGGGGTTTGGGGATTATAGGCCCATAGGCTTTCGTGCTTCAAGCATTTGAGGCTTTCGAGGGGTATGTGAGATCTTTGGGAGAGTTTCGATTCCCGACTGCATTAAGATCCCGGCCGACGTGCCGTGTTCAAAACCTGCCCGAGGTTTGTTGATGGCCAGTATCTCCTGCTGCATATCCTGAGCACCTTGGCTGTATATGATATTAGCAACCCTAATTGAATGCGTGACAACAGTAGTAATAATTCTTGTTTCAATTATCATAAGGCTTCAACTGAGAGCTCCCAATACCACTTAAATGACCCGAAGCCGCATCAGGATCCCGACTCCATAACCCTCTACACACTCACCGGCCCCCGTTGGCATAAATCTGAAAGCTTATCTTCAGCCAAAGCCCCGCATGCCGACTCGGCACAGTCCATTTTTATTGGGGTATTCCTTTACTAAGGCCATGTGGAATCTTTGGAGACACCCGGAACATGCCTCGAATCCCTCGCAGCACGCAGCAGGCACCCTCAATTTCGAAGTTCTTGGCCGCTCCCTCACGCAAGCGGAGATTGAGGCTCGAGCCCTTCATCATCACCCTACAGGGACATTTTTGCGCTTAAACCGCTTAGACCTGAAAGCCTGTAAATTAGAATAATCCATAAAGTCTAGCCGCTTCCGGCTAAGGGTCACGTTACGGTCAACTAACACAGACAACGTAGGGCCTAGTCCTACCTGTACTTGTGTGTGTGTGTGTGTGTGTGTGTGTGCATGCGTATGTACACGTATATATGTGTGTATGTATGTATATACGAATATATATATATATATATATATATATATATATATATACACATACACACACACACACACGCAGAGACACGTCTGAATGCATACATATGAAAAGGTGTATACACACATCTTTGTACATGCACACAGAGCACATGCATGTGTGTGTATATATTTGAACACAAATATATACTCGCACACCAAAGTTGTAGCATCATACAGTTAGGCCATCTTCTCCAGTTTCGGGATGCCCTCCTCCCCCCCCTGGTGCCCTTGAGCGAATCCTGAGCACAATTTCCAGCCCTCCATCCGGACCAAAGTTTGGTCCAGGCAGTAGACCAGCACATCAAGAAGTGCAAGCTCAGCTGCTTGGAAGCAGGGTTAGGGTTTAGGGTTTAGGGACATATGTTTCCGCAGAAACGACGCATGTCGGTTTCGCGATGGGCAGATTAGGTTGCAGGTAGCAAACGACGAGTGCCCAAAACACATGTAGCCGCGCAAGCCACATTCCAATTCCAGATAAACATGACTCAGACTGTTCTTCTGGTCAGCGTCGCGCCTATGTTCCAGTTCGCATGAGATACACGAGCACATGAAGGCGTGTACATCCACACGTGCATGCGTAGAGCGCATGTGCAAACGTGCTTGTCCTGCAAGATGCATAGTGACAATAACTTGCTCTTGTCAGTGTATATGTCGATGTTATGTGTAAATCTATTGCTGTGCTGCTTGATCGTCGCAGAATTTCTTCGTTTTCCGGAGAGTTGAGCTCCACAAGATAAGGAGTGCAGGGTTCGGGCCTGGGGATCGTGAGTGGGGTTTTGGTTTCTTACTGCATGCAACAAGGGTTTTGGATTAGAGGAGCCCGTTCGGCCGTATACAAACCTGGTACAGAAATGGTAGGATACCCTATAATTTACCATAGAAGGGTTAGGATAATCATATTGCAACTTTCTGGCTTCTACCTTAGGGAAGCCCTGTAAAGAACACCATAAAATCGGGGCCCAAACAGTTGGACCATGTTGAGTTCCTTCTTATACTTATCGTACAATATTAGTATACAAATTCTGCAGGCCCTAATACTAATCATATTCATATGTTAGAAGAATAGCAAGGAGCCCGCCCCCCCTCAATACAAAAGCACTATTGCCAAGTCTTTAGGCCAGTTTTTGTTACGCCCTCCGAAGTCTCTAAACCCTAAATCCCTAATCATAACCCCCTCAAAAAACCCTGACCTCTAAACCGCTAAACCCCTATATAAGCCCTAAACCCTAAAACCCTGAACCCCTACAACCCTAAACCCTTAAACCCCTAAACCCTACAACCCTAAACCCTAAAACCCTTAAACCCCTAAACCCTACACCTAAACCCTAAAACCCTAAACCCCTGATCTCTAAACCCCTAAACCCTAAGCCCTCTAGGAAGTCTCAGCCCGGAGGTCCCCTCCGCTTGTCTCGCGCTTTGGAGCTGCTTTGCCAGGCCTGCCGGTCGTGACCTCCGAAGGAGTCAGGATTGAGGGCTACTGCGGATTCCCTTAACCCCGAATAACCTACATTTTAAGTTTTGAAGGACTCATATAAGGAAACAATGGTAAGGAACCCTAAAAAAGTAGGTTATTCGGGGTTAGGGTCGGGTTTAGGTTAGGGTTTGGGGTTTAGGAGGGGGTCATGGCTTGAGGGTTCAGAGTCTACAGTTTAGGCTTTAGGATTGAGGGTTTGAGAGCTTTAGGGTTGAGGCTTTAGGATTCAGGTTCTCCTGATATCTCGACATCCCCTCTCTACTGGCTCATGTGTTTTTCTGGCTTCACGACCCCTGCGAAGTGATCGCAACTGTGCAGAAATTCAAAAGACTTAGGGGAATTTAGGGTTTAGGGTTTAGGGTGTAATCGATTGTGTTGACACTTCAAGCACCAGCATGCCTCTTAGGGTGCAGGGCCCCTTACTGCCCATCCTTGTGACCGGCTTGGAAAGAACGACTTACACTTGAGCTCGTTGTGGCACACGCACACACCTCGATTTGAAACCGGTAAAGTTTCGCATGATGAGTACAAACCTTGTACCGCGAGGTCGGTCAGCACAACGACAGGGCGCGGCAGGACTGCTTTAGCTTGGGGGGGGACGCTCTAGCGGGATTTCATGTATCAACCCCCAAGCCCAAAACCTGAGACACAAATGCATCCGAATACTCAAGGCTCTGAACTACCCTAAACCCTCAAAACCGAAAGTGCTGCATTCCCGTCGTTTGAAGGGATAGATTGCCCTAAGGGTCCATGTACCCATGTGGTAATTAAGCTCTTTGGCCGCAAAGGGTTCCTTCTCATCTATTTATCCAGATCGATCCATCCTTCCATCCATTTATCCAACCATGTATTTGTGTATCTCTGTGGCTCACTCGCTCCCTCTGCGTATAGGTACCTGAGAACATAATAGCACCGCAGAACATACCTAGACCCCCAACTACCGTCTACCATACCCCAAATACCCACTATTAAGAGCCACAGTAGGGCTCTATTAGAGAGCCCTTTCGGGGTGTCCTGGTACATTAGCCTTCAAGCTAAATCCTTCAACTCGAGCCTGCAATTCACGTGCAGGGGCCTAACTGGTAGGTTGACGTGTTTTGGAAGAGGCTTCAAGCCACGAGCTGTTCCAA